TTCACTGATGATATGGAGCTTTTCCATCTTCTCTTTCCACAGATGTAGTCTATTTGATTTCTATGTGTTCCATCTGGCGAGGTCCATGTGTATGGATTACTATTATCGTACAATTAAAAGGAAAAGTCAAAATAATTGTTTTTGTATTTTCATTTAAATTATATATAATTGTTCTTCATAATAACCCATTTGGAGAGTATGGCAAAGATGATTATACTCATTTTATAGATTGGAATAGTAAAGATGGAATGTTTGTATTGTGGATGTAGTCTCTCACTCCTAATTTAGTTAAAAAACAAATTTCCTGACTGTTCTAGTTCTACTGTTATAGTTGTTACTGTAAAGTGCCATCAAGTTGGTTCCGACCCGTAGTGACCCTGTATAAGTAGTGCTATGGATTTCTACATATATATTAACTTCTAACAATGTGAAGTAGTGGTCAAAGGACCCAAGGGCTTCAGTTCTGTGTTTTAGATGACTTCTACTTTTATATTTAGAGGAAATTTAAGATATAGGCAGAAATATGATATAGATGATAACTTTTTTTTGGGGGGGGGTGGAGCCTTGTAAGAAGAAAAAGTAAAGGATAAGCATACATTTCTTTCTTTCTTTTTTTAACAGCAGAATTTGTTTAATATGGTTGTAGAAGTGCCTCGATGGACAAATGCTAAAATGGAGGTATGCAACTAAATATATCCTATTAATATCAAATGGGAATTGTAACAATAATGGCACAGAAATCTTTGTTTCTTTGTTTAAAGTTGTTACAAATTTGGGATGGTTGACAAACATCTTTATAATGTAAATACTTAAAAATGCTGTTTGGGACTTACTTTGATTTTAATTTCAAAAAGAAAAGTATTATTGATTGCTAAGTATATACTTTTAAGTGTTTTTCCATTTGTGCCTCTCTAATTTATTGTACAGGAGTCCTGGTGTGGCGCTGTGGGTTAATGCGCTGGACTACAAAGTCAGTTTGAATCGCAAGGTCAGCAGTTCAAACTCACCAGCTGCTCCTTGGAAACCTTAACAGGGTCACTATGGGTCGAAATCGATTTGACGGCACTTAACAACAACAATTTATCATACACATTTTCATTTAATTTCCCTTGATTCCTCTTTCTTCAAAAAATTTTCAAAGTGAACTTAACAGATTCTAGGATTTACTTAACAAACGTAACTGAAACATATAAAGGGGCTTTGAAAAGTTGGTTGAAAAATTCTAGTTTTCCATCAACTTTTTGAAGCCTTTTCATATTTATCTGGGACTAGTGGTAGTTTTAGTTTTAAGGACTTAATTTATAAGGACTTCTTTCTTTGGATTTTATCCTGCCAGAAATAAAAAGTCTTTTTTGGCCAAATTCGGACTTATTACCCCTATCTAAGAGCCTCTGCTGCTCCCCTGATGACTTTGTTTTGATTTGTTTACTTGGTTGGGTTTTTGTTGTTGTTTTAATCTTTCTAATGACTTTAAAATTGTCAACACTTCCCTATCAAACCTTCCCTCACTTCCATCTTCTGTTAGGTAAGATTTCTTCACATTTCTGAGTGAAATTTAATTTGTGGAGCTTAGTTTTTTTACTTATTTAACCTGTCTCCTACTTTGGGTGTGAGGGTAAGTATTATTTCAATTGTTAAAGTTTGGGATTGTTATGTAGGTATGTATTTTTCATAATTTCTATTTGAAGCATTGTCAATAATTTCAGCAGTTCCTGGTTATATTTTTTGTTAATGATTTATTAAGAAAAAGAAAAGATATTTTGCCTTTTGGTGTAGTGTCAACGATAATATTTCATTATTTTGCTAGCAGTCTTTTTCGTTAAGTATGGTGGTGGTGTTTCGTTAAGTATGGTTAAGTAAGTTATGTGCCGTGGAGTTGGTTCTGACTCATAGCGACCCAGTATAGGGTTTCCAAGGCTGTAAATCTTTACAGGAGCAGAAAGCCTCATCTTTCTCCCGTGAAACAGCTGGTAGTTTCGAACTGCTGACCTTAAGGTTTATAGCTTGATTCGTAACCACTACGCTACCAGAGCTCCTTAGTTAAGTGTAGGATCCAAGATTCTATGAGATTCTGCCTCATTTAAGTAGTATTTCTTCATTCGAGTATTACTTCAGTTATATTTTTGTTTACTTTAGAATATTTTTTCCTCTTTGATATATATATATATATCGTTAAGTGCCGTCGAGTTGGTTCCAACTAATAGCAGTTCTGTATAGAGTTTATGAGAAGTATCTGGTGGGTTTGAACTGCCAACCTTGTGGTTCACAGTCTAGTACTGATCCCCAGGGTTGGTTTGAACTCTATGCAGAGTTGCTATGAATTGTAACTGACTCAGTGGTACTTTATATATTACGTATATATATATAGAGAGAGAGAGAAAGAGAGAGAGAGAAAGTGTATGAGTGTGTGTGTGTGTGTGTGTCCTGGTATTGTGCTGCAACATAATTGTACCGCAAGGTCAGTTTGAACTGCAGCGTCAGCTGTTCAAACCCACTAGAAATCCTATATAGGGTCACTGTGAGTCAGAACTGACTCGATGGCACTTAACAACATACATGTTGTTGTTGTTATTGTTATTAAGTGTTGTCAAGTCAGTTCCTAACCATCGTGATCCCGTATAGGATTTCCGAGGAGCAGCTGGTGAACTTGAACCGCTTACCTTGTGGTTCAAACGGATCTTGCTGTCCAGTGCATTAACCCACAGTGCCACACCTATATATATATACATACACTACGCTAGTTTTGAAGTAAAATCTCTTGATGATCGTCTGTGAGTTAACTTTACTATCCTAAATTTTATGAAAAAAACCCCGAGATTAGTAACAAAAAGCAAGTTGATTAATATTAATCCTCTTGCCATTCCACTCATTTTATTATTTGTATTAGAAATAATGAGCTGCCTAAATATGTAATCTGGAGCCCTGGTATAGTGCTGTGGGATAATGCACTGGACCGCAAGGTCGATTTGAACCGCAAGGTCGGCAGTTCAAATTCACTAGCCACTCCTCAGAAACCTTATACAGGGTTGGTATGAATGGGAACTTCAACAACAACAAATGTGTAATCTGATGTTTCCTTTCCAGATAGATTTTCTTATACAGATTGCATAAATTACTAATAAAAGCTGCCTTAATTTATTTTAATGTACTTTTGATCAATAAATTGGGATAGGAATTTTTTATCTGAAACTAGCAGATTTTAACAACACTGTTTGGCTATAGAATTAATTATTTCTCATTCGTCCCCCTCCTCCTTTCGCCCACTATGATCTGCATAGATTGCCACCAAGGAGCCATTGAATCCCATTAAACAAGACGTAAAGGATGGCAAGCTGCGCTATGTGGCCAATATCTTCCCTCACAAGGGTTATATATGGAACTATGGTGCCCTCCCTCAGGTAACATTCTGGTTATAATGGTGAGACTTTTCTGTCTTCTGAGTAAATTGCCTTGTAAATCCTAAACACTGTATGAATTTAAATCAGTTCTAAAAAAAGTGCCAGTTTGAGAGATTTGTAATTTTAAATTTTTTAGTGTGGGGTTTTATTGTTTATCAGTAAATTTTGTTTCAAGCCATACATGTATCCATACTTGATTTTTGGAGTTAGGTTGTTCATATAGAACTCTCACATGTGGCATTTTGACTGTTACACACACACACACACACACACATCATTCTTGGCTATTTAGTGTCATGAGAAATGGTCAGAAAAGCTTTATCTGCATTTACTCCTTTGAAGATGATAAGTTAGGTATTTATGCAAAATATACATATTTTAGCATGAATTTTATTTTTTTGACTCTAACATGGGTTTTTTTCAATTTTTAACTTTTTTTCCCCAGAAAAAACTCATTACACAGTGATTCAAACAACTTTTCCTATATTATTTACTGTTTAGAGTTCAATTTTTAAGTGGAAAGAAGGAAAACAAGTACTAAATAATGGTAAAGCAGAATTTTTGTCAGAGAATGACACTTGCTTTGCTTACTTTCTCACCCTATTTTAGTATTTTTTCATGTTCCCTCATTCCTGAGAAGTGGCTACTCCTTGCGGATCATTTGAACGAGTAAACTCAGAACATACAAACCCCAGATCTCAGTGTTCGGCACAGAAAGCTCCTCCTTAATTTTTAGAGAATCCATTAGCATAACCTTCTATATGAAAAATTTATCTTTGTTTTTAATGTTTTATATGGAATTCAGTATTCTGTTGGGGAACTATCTGAGAAAAGATGGTCTTTCTTTAGCTAGAAAGACCAACTGCCCATGTAAAATAAACATTCACAGAAAAAGAAAAGAGGAAGAAATAGTCTGTCTTTGGTGCAGGTAGACCACCCATAGGCATACATTCTTGGCTAAAATGGACACTTCTAAACGAATTGGTCTGCTAACTTCAGGGTCAGCAGTTTGAAACTACCAGCTGTTCCACGGGAGAAAGATGAAGCTTTCTGCTCCCCTAAAGATTTACAGCCTCAGAAACCCTGTACAGGGTCGGTATGATTCGGAACTGACTCCACGGTACATAACAACAACAACAAACTGATATGTTAAGAATAACAACAACAAAAAACACCCAGGTTTCCTGGCTCTCCCAGGTACCCAAGTAGACATTCTGTTTGACCTAAGAGTAAAATGGTAAAGGAGGTTCTGAAGGCTTATTTAGTGGGCTCTGTTTTATGAGACAGGAATATATGGATGTGGGGAAGGCATAAGAAGTCATTGAATTAGAGTAGATGCATCAGATAGATGCAGTACAGCAGATAGGATGTTGTAAACTAAAGTTTATTTCATTAAACATTTATTAAGGATTTCTGTGTGGGTGTAGGTAATGTGCAAGGTGTTGGCTATATAAAGACAAATGAGACATAGATACAAGATCCAAACAAGATAATAAATGACTAATTGTGTGGGCTTTGAAGCCAGATTTCTACTTATTGTAATGAGCAATGTGACCTTGGTCAAGCTATGCCTTTCTTTGTCTCATTTTCTTCAGTTATAAATTAGAATGAAGTATTTACTGCATATGGTACTGCGTCTGGTTGATGTTAAATAAGTTACTGCATGTACATACTTAGAAGAGTGCCTAACGTTGTTAGGTACCCTAGAGTTGTTAGGTACCCTATGCACAACAGAACAAAACACTGCCTGATTGTTATTGTTAAGTACCGTCCTCACAATTGTTATGTTTGAGTACATTCTTGCTACCTACTCCTTGAGAGTCTTTCGTTTTTTCAACGACCCTCTACTTTACCAAGCATGATGTCCTTTTCCAGGACTAATCCTCCTGCCATCATCACATCCATAGAGCACTCTTCCAGAACAGATTTGTTTGTTCTTTTGGCAGTCCATCATACTTTGCAGTATTCTTCCACCAACACTATGATCCAAACGCATTGATTCTTCTCCATTCTTCCTTATTCATTGTATACCTTTCATGTGCATATGAGGCAATTGAAAATACCATGGCTTGGGTCAGGCATACCTTAGTCTTCAAAGTGATGTCTTTGCTTTCAAACACTTTTAAAAGATCTTTTGTAACAGATTTACCAGTACAGTAGTCCTTTCATTTTTTGACTGCAGCTTCCATGAGCATTGATTGTGGATCCAAGTAAAATGAATTCCATGATGTCAATATTTTTTTTGCTTATCATGGTGCTTATTGGTCCAGTGGTGAGGATATTTATTTTCTTTACATGGAGATGCAGTCCATACAGAAGGCTGTAGTCTTTCATCTTCATCAGTGCTTCAAGTCCTCTTTGTAGCCAAGAAGCGAGGTTGTGTCATCTACATGTAGCAGATTATTAATGAGGCCTGCTCCGATCTTAATGCAGTGTTATTCATATAATCAAGAATCTTGGATTATTTGCTCAGCATGCATACAGATTGAATAAGTATGGTGAGAGGTTACAACCCTGACTCACCCCTTTCCTGATTTTAAACCATTCAGTAGCCCCTTTTGCTTTTCGAATGAATACCTTTGGTCTATGTACGAGTCCTGCATGAGCACGATTAAATGTTCTAGAATTCTCATTTTTTTGAAGTGCTATTCATAGTTTAAGAAGCTCTGGTAGTGTAGTGGTTACAAATCGAGCTGCTAACCGGAAGGTCGACAGTTCGAAACTACCAGCAGTTCCACGGGAGAAAGATGAGGTGTTCTGCTCCCGTAAAGATTTACAGCCTTGGAAACCCTGTGCAGGGTCACAATGAGTAGGAGCCAACTCCACGGTACTTAACAACAACAACATTCATAGTTTGTTATGAGCCACATGGGTGAATGCCTTTGCATAGTCAGTAAAGCACAAGTAAACATCTTTCTGGTATTCTCTGCTTTCAGCCAAGATTCATCTGACATCAGCGGTGATATCTCTCATTCTACATCCTCTTCTGAATCCAGCTTGAGTTTCTGAAAGCTCTCTATCAATGACTGCTGCAGTCATTTAAAATTTATCTTTAAACTGTTACTTGCCTGTGATATTAATAATGTTGTTTGGTGATTTCCACGTTCCATTGGTTCACCTTTCTGTGGAATAAGCACAAATATGGATTTCTTCCAGTCAGTTGGCCTGGTAGCTGTCTTCTAAATTTGTTGACATAGACTAGTGAGTGCTTCCATCACTGAATTAGTTTGTTGAGACATTTCAATTTGTATTCTGTCAATTCCTAGAGCCTTGTTTTTGCTAATATCGTCAGTGCAGCTTGGTCTTTTTTCCTTCAATAACATCGATTCTTGATCTCATGCTATCTCCTGAAATGGTTGAACACTGACCATTTATTTTTGGTACAGTGACTATACTTTCCATCTTCTTCTGATGCTTCCTGCATTGTTCAATATGTTGTCAATAGAATCTTTCTAGATTGCGAATTGAGGGTTGAATGTTTTCTTCAGTTCTTTCAGCTTGAGAAATGCTGAGTGTGCTCGTCCATTGCAACTTTCTAACTCCAAACCTTTGCACATTTACTTATAATACTTTGCCTTATAAAGCTATTCTTTTCAAATTATCTGTTCAGCTCTTCATCATTAACTTTCATGCATGTTAGCTACTTTACATTCACTAGCAAGTTTCACCATCTCTTCTGACATCTACTTTGGTCTTTCCTACTGTCTTTTTAATGACCTTTTGCTTTCTTCATGTATGGTGTGCTTGAATGGTGTGCTTGATGTCATATCATAACTTATCTTACAACAGGCCAGTAGTGTCCAGTGCTTCAGATCTGTTCTTGAGATGATCTGTAAATTAAGGTGTGGCACTGTAGGATAAGCACTAGACTGAAAGGTTATTTTGAAATGCAAAACCAGCAGTTCAAACCCACCAATTGCCCCTTGGAAACCCTGCACAGGGTCACTATGAGTCGGAACTGACTTGATGGCATTTAACAACAACAGCAACTTACTCAAGGTAGAGTCCTGGTGTGGCACTTAAAATAAACACTGCACTGTGAACTGTAAAGTCAGTGGTTCAAACCCACCAGCTGTTCCTTAAAACCCTATAGAGGTTTACTATGAGTTGACAGCACTTAACATCATATTTAAGGTCGCATTTTGGCTCACATGGACTTGTTTTAATTTTCTTCAGCTACAGCCTGAATTTGTATATGAGCAGATGATGATCTGTTTTCCACAGTTGGTCCTGGCTTTGTTTTAGCTGATGATATTGAGCTTCTCCATCATTTTCTTCCCAGAGATGTAGTCAATTTGATCAATTAGATAGATTCCTGTGTATTCCATCTAGGGAGGTCCATATGCATAGTCACAATTGATGTTGTTGGAAAAAAGATATTTGCAATGAATAAGTTGTTAGTCTTGTAAATTTCTACCATATGATCTCCAGCCTCATTTCTATCACCTAGACCATAATTTTCCATGACTGAGCCCTCCTTTTGTTTTCAACTTTGCTCTTCCAATCACTAGCACAATTGTCAGTGCATCTTGATTACATGTTTTATCAATTTTGGGCTGAAGAAGTTGGCTCTGATGGTTGGTGTGTAAATTTGTGTAATAGTTCTTTTAACTCGTCTTCCTTGTGGGCATATAGGTAATATGCTATTACAGATAACATTGTTTTTCAAGACAGATCTCGAAATGTTCTTTTTCATGATGAATGCATTGCCTTTCCTCTTGAATATGTCATTTCTTGCATAGTAAATCCTATGATTGATTCAAAATGACCAGTGCTTCTCCATTTCAGCTCACTAATGCCTAGGATATCTGTCTATGCATTCCATTTTATTTTTGATGATTTCCAATTTTCTGGATTCATGTGTCATATATTTCATGGTCAGATTTTTGGTGGTTGCTTGCAGCTGTTTCTTTTCTGTTTTAGTTTTGTCCCAACAGCAGTGAAGGTTCCAGAAGTTTTGCTCTGTCCACATTATTAAGGTCAATTCTACTTTGAGAAGG